CTATATGTACTATTTCATGTAGAGTGGCTCTGATTCTCATCTCTGTTGAACAGATTTTGTGCTGTGGCAGTAGCATAATTAGGGGCTGGGGGGCAGTGATTGGAGCAGCAGCCCTGGGAGCCACCTTCAGTGGGTGGTGCAAAAACAGTCACTGCCACAATTGGCACAGCAGGAGCTAGCACTGCCCCATTAATTAGCAGCTGCCTTGAACATGGATCTGCTCTGCTACGCCTCTGCACTATGGTGATTGCATTGACTTAAATGCAGTTATTCCCAATGACTACCAGCATGAGGGAGAGGAAAACTAGGTCTACAGATTAACCACAGTAATACTTCTGTAAAAGTGCAGTGGAAAAGGCTATGCTCACATGCCTTAGGCGGCTTTGGATGTATTAATGTGTGAAAGCCTGGCTCTTAGCAGGTGCACTAACCAGGCAGTGACTCACCAAAGTCAGCTAATTTGAGCTCACCAAGGCAACTGATGAGCAAGTTTGGAGGTTTCAGATCACGGTGAAGAATGAGTTGGTTGTGGATGTAAGCCAGGCCTCGTAAAAGCTGGAACATAAAAATCTAGAAAAAAACCCAAAAATAACCCGAAAGAGATTTGTATGATTTTGCATTGTTGTATAAACTTTGAGTGCCAGAGAAGCAGAACTAAAATGAGGGAGAAAACAGTAAAAATTGTGGAAACTAGTTGAGCAACTGCATGGACTGAGGGGAGAATTGTAATAATATTCAGCTCCCCCATTCTCCATGTCTCTTTGAGCATATTATGCTTTAATGATAAAGGAGCCATCATTTCAGATCTTTAGATCCTAAATGACCATTTCAAAAGCCTCACTTCCTTTTCGAATTTAACTATTCATGTCAAGAGCAAAGTTAGCACACTGTAAAGCACAGACTCAGGACCCGGGATGTCAAACATTCACACCCTGGTGTTAGTCAACAGGGGATTAAAAAAAGGAGGAAAGAATGCAGACCCTGGGCTAGTCTACCCCAGGAAGACTGTGCCAGTATAGCTAGCTATAGGAATAAATCTCTTAGGGGAAACACAGCTCAAATTGGAGGAGGGAATTCATTTGCTGGAATAATTAAATCAACTCAGCAAAAAGAACTTTTGCTAGTCAAAGTTAAAGGTTTGTGGGGAACAACATCATTTTGTTAGGGTAGAGGTGTGATTTTTCTTTCATACTCATAACTAGGGCTTGGTTTAAATTGCAGGCCCAGCTTGCTAATATCATAGCCTGATCATGGCGGGGGCCATCATTTTCATACCCAGATCAAGGGGCTGTTTGCTCTGATGGCTGCTGCAGGCTGGAAGTATTCCTTAGCCAGCAGCAAAAGCCTAGCAGCCCAGGGGAGAGGGGAAGGGGTTGAAAAACAGACAGGGGAAGAGAGAGCTTGGGGATGGGTAGCAGAGGGGTTGTTTGCTCCTTGGGTGGAAAAACTGGAGGGGTAGGGTGGGAGCTCCTGGGGGGTGCCGTGGCAGACAGCCTTGTCACTGGGTATGGGAGGGGCTGTGTGTTCTCTCCCTCAATCCAGTTTTCCAAACCAGAGGACCAGCCTATCTCCTTCCTGGTGCCTTTAATTGAAAGATGGGTTGAATCTTGACAAAACAAATTGTTTGTCAGAAGTTTGGGTTAAATACACATTAGTAAAACGCTTAAGACATTTTGAGCATTGCAACAATTTACTATGATCTGACATTATGGAATATAAATATATATTTTGGGGCTTTAAGGTATATTAGTTTGTTTTTTTTAATTTACCATAACATTGTGAGGATGAAGTCCTCCTGGATGTTGGGCCATATATTGTGCCAGGTCTGTGTGCTAAATAAAGAGAATAAAGAGAAAGGCCTTAAAACAAAGCTGTGCAAGTATCTATGGAAGACTAACTAGGAACATGCTAAGAATCGAGAGACATCTTAGTTACTGGTGACTGGTGTGTAGTATTCAATACAAGCTGGAAAGTTCATATTTAATTTCATCCTGGTAAGAAATGTATTGTTAAAACCTTATTAGTATATAGGCTTACGGCCCTTCAATGCAAATGTGATAGGTGGCTGGGACTGGAAGTCCCATCCCCTTCACCCTGCCCCTTTCCCCTTATATGGTGTGTGACGTCACTAGCCCCACCCCCAACCCATCACATGGTGTGTGACATCAGCAGCTCCGCCCCCACCCCCAGTCACATGGTGTGCGATGCCACCACCACATGGTCCATGACATCAGAAGGACAGCTCATGCAGACCCCAAAGCCCAACCCCACATGCTACAAGACCCACCCTAGACCACGTGGTACAGTTATGACCTATCAGGTCCCAGACTGCTCTAGCCCCTGGAGCACAGGCATGGCCTATGAGGTGGCAGTGGGGTGGTGTGACCCCTCTAACAACCCGCCCCACCACTCCCGACCAATTGCTGGGGGTTTCAGAGGCCTCGGACCTCCCAAGAATGATGCTGAACCAATTGGAATGAGTAGAGGGGGTGGGATTTAGGCTGCAACCCCACCAGATCTGTCTGCTTTCCCAAACGACCCCTCTGTTTATCTGAGACCATGCTAAGGCAAGCAGGGGCAGATATGGATTCTTTCACAGTGCCTGTAGGCCCACTCACCACAACCCCAAGACAGCCTCATAGAAAGCATTACCATAGAAATCGTTTTGAGGAGGAGGCCAGGCTCCTAGCCCAAAGACTCTTTGAGATGCCTGAACCTGTTCAGGAAGACCCAATGAACAGGCAAATGGAGGAGGCCCAGGCCCCCGAAGCAGATGCTGAGAATTTAGAAGATGGTATCTTTGTGCCAGAGCCTGCATGTGAAGTACAGGTCATCACAGAGGAGAGACCGGTAAAAGACTTGGGGCATGGTTGTGGGGGCACTGGATCTGCTGAAGCTGGATTGTGAGGGTAGTGGTGTGGGTTCACTTCATAGTACATGTGTGTTTGGAAGTAGCTAAGGACTGATTAAACAGTAGCTAACTAAGTCCTTTATTTGTAGTCCTTTGCAGTTAGATGAAGCCTTTTTAATGACCCCAGACAGCCTACTCACCAGTACGCCAGAAGGAAACGTATGCTTCTGCAGAGAACAGAGATCAAATGAGGCTGAAGAGTTCAGAAGACAATTAGGCATTGAATCATCAGGTCCTGTTTCAAATCAAGAACGTAAAATCTTCATGAAGTCTCTTGTGCACATTTCCTTTTATGGCATAATGAAATACTGTTTGAGGAAGAGACTTTTTGATCAATGCTGGGGGTGCACATAT